AAACAAAACCAACAGAGGCCCTCCCATAGCGAACAAACAATCCCAACCAGTAGTGGACGGTCGACACAAGAAAGGTCCCAGCCCGAGAATCTGCTACCAAAACCGCATACTGTCTATATAGTAGAAGAGACCGAGCCCCGAACCGATCTCAGAATCGACCCATCGTCAACCGAAAGAGCCGCTACCGACCCTCACACCAACCCCACCCCAAACTCGACGAGCTCGAAAGAACCTAGTCCCCTGCTGCCTAACACCACTAGGCAGACGGGCTCGCGCAAAGATAAATCGCACCCTTAACCCCAACCACCGCGACAGCCAAGCCGCAGCAACCAGAGCCCCGTCCCACCCCTCAGTACGTGCGCCGCTCCATACAACCGCAGAGCTCCAACGACCAGAAGCCCAGCCCCACCGGAGCAGGCAAGCCCGCCGGAGAAGTGCAACCCAATCGACAGTAGAAAAGGCAAAATTGACCGGACTTACCTCCACAGAGCAGCTCCTACCTGCGATTGAGATGAAGACTCGAACCACCTACAAGACGCCGAACTTGGAGGCCGCCGTCGCCAACCAAAGCCACCTCTGCCGCTAATTGGACGGACCCCAATCGCGGAGCATCCAGGGCTTAAACGGAGCCACGCTTACCAGGAGATGGACACACGTCAAAGAGGACCCCTTACCGTGACGTTGTCGTCGTCGTGGGAGGCAAAGCGAGCTGATTTGAGGAAAAGTTGATTCGGGGGTAGGGTTACATGCAGAGGTTGAAGACAGGAATAATAAATCTTGCTATTTAATTTATTTTACTTAACATTTCTATTTACTTTTACAATATCTAATAAATTGTTTTATTTTTCATTTTTGTTCATTAGGCGTAACAAATTTTTCTGCACTCTTTTAGAATAGATGGTCGATCAAATTATGTTATTTATTATGAATTGTGAAATTGAGCAATTGCTAATTGTACTGCAATTTTGCCGAGTATAAGTTGTCGGACGTATTTAATTTGCAGACTTATTTTTTTTTCTCTTTCATGATATTATTTTTTATTTTATTTTATTATATTTAATACATTGTTTTATTTTTGTTCATTATGCACTATTTAGGATGGTCGACTAAATTACGTCACATATTTTGAATTAAGAAATTGAGCCATTGACATTGAGCCATTGGTAACTATACTGTAATTTTGCCGAGCGAAAGTTGTCGGAGGTATTTAATTTGCTTCTCAGTATTTACTCGAACAAGAATGTGGGATTTGACCTTTTCGGGGGATGTAAGTAGGATCCTGTTCGAGATGTCAATTATAGTATTCATCGCTATGGGAGTGGGAATGAAAAAAAAGGTCTGAGATCACTGATGTAGCAGGTGAACCAGAGCTGGGAATATGCCCTCGGTTGAGGTGGACGGAATTCAGTCTGATTGGTTTTCTGGTAAGACTGATTTTTCCAATCTTGAAACGATCCACCTGCAAGAATAAACGTAAGAACATAAAATAGTACTCAAAGTTGGAAGGAATGAGAGGGCCCACATCAAAAGGTAGTTAGCTTAGCGCTCTCTCTTCAATGCCCACGGATTTCAATCAAATTGTCCGATTAGAGACCCTAGCGAGTGAAGTGCTTACGCCCCTGACGAGATAGGTCAATTACTACTCTCCTTTCAGACACTCCTGCCGGATCAAATGTCAGATGGCCTTGACTAGAGTTTCATGCGCCCCAGACAGATTTTTTGTGCCTGTGCTGCAGGAACTAAGCTCATTTTCTCAAAGAAAAGGAGAGAAGTCGAAGGTATTTAATTTTTGTAAGTTAAAAATTTGTCCAACATGCTTATGTTCATAAAAATATATTATTCTGTAATATGTAAATGACAAATGTTACTTTTGTAGTTTATGAGAAGGTGTCAAACACGTTTGACATAACCAAAATGATTTCGAATTAAAATGCTGATGAAATTCAAGAATTTGTTGCGGCGTAAGATTAATTAGTACTCATTTTAATTTTAGTAGTTTGATTTTTTTAGATATATTTATTAATGATTATAGTAATATTATTTTTTATCAATTATTAATTACAAATTATTTTTAAGTAATTTAAGGTATTGAGGAGTCTCTTACATTTCAAGGTCGACTACTATGGTGGAGGTTTGACATTCATAAGCGACGAGGCATATACATAAAATATAGGGTTCTCGATTAAAATTATTGATTCATGTACTCATGTGGACATGTTACGTCAACTTTTTATTTGTAACATTTAAAGTATAATAAATTGTTAACAGTGACATTACGCTAGTCCAAATATTCGTAATTTTATTTTACAAGTTGAAAGTCATGAGTTTGTGTTGTTGTCGAGTCATTCACAAATTATTGGTATCTTTCCTGATGCATTTGTGATGATGCAGTGTCGAGGTAATATTTTTACATTCTAATTTTATTATTTTTTCGACCACCTGCTCGAGGCGTCGCCATTTTAAACTATGGGTAACTGGCACCGGTATGGCTATCAAAATCGTGAGCATCGGCTTTATCTAATAATTAAATTTATAAACTAATATAATTATGTATTGTTCATATAATTCTTAATTTATTATCGTGTGTACTTTAAAAAAATTGAACTTATATTTTATAGGTACAAGATGCAGCTTGAAGTAAGTGATGCCACTAGAAGCGTTGCATAATTGTTTGAAATCCTGACTATGAAAAGTTGCTTGGACATTCATGATACGAATTGCATTCAAAATATATTGAGGTAATATCTGATGTTGTATGTATATATAGATAGATGTATGTATAAATTTATATTATCTATTAAAATACTTTTTATCATTATACACTGGATAATGTAATTTCAAAAATATATTATTTTCATTGTTTGAACATAGAAGCAATGTAATGTACGTCCGACACTCTGACCGGCTGGAAATCGACTTACTTTCGTCTTCCTCGCCGGTAGAACGCCGAGTACTTGCAAAAACTCTCACACCGGAAGGTTTTTGGTGAAGATCCTCTGATGCTTAAGTCAGTGTATATCTCAATTCAAGTCTCAATAGTATATTAGAAATGTCATCCTAAAATCGTAAGTCTCACCCCAATATATAGGAGCCGGGTACTTATTTCTAGAAGGCTGCCCGAATTAGTTTAGTTGGCTGCCCAAAGCTGCCCGGCCTGCCCGATCGTACAACACACACAGGTGTGTCAGAGACCGGTTATACGATATGGACCAATCATGTTGTGCCACGTGTCCTCCGCTCGTGGGGTTTTGATTCCCCTGGAATCTCCTCGAAGGCTCGACTAAGTCTAAGTCAATTTGATGCAGAGCGCTGGCTACTCCGAGTCCCCAACGGATGAATAGCACTCCCCAACGAAAGAATACACACTCTCCTACGGGAGAATACACACTCCTAAAGTGGAGAAAAAAACACAGACACACACCTACGACCTAACACAAACACAACAATAAAAAACACAAAAAAGTAAATTAATGCCCATCTAACAACTGTGAAACCGACCGAACAAAACTTGACGCCGACACCCACGGGCAATCACCCACACAAACAAGACCTGGTCCAAGTCGCTAAGCCAGAAACTGCAGAATAATTGCCTAACTAGACTCGAGACTCAAAATCTTGCCCCGCCCGGGTAGACAACCCATAAACCCGTAGCCGGAGATCAACAACAAGCTCCATCACAACCCCGACGACCTGAGCCCAGGACACGAGATACGACCCCGACTGAACTCCGCCAATGCAACCAACAGGCCCAAAAGCAGAGAACACGAGAGAAGGAAGAAAAGCGAAATAGCTCGATCTTAGCCCCGACTACCACCAAATCCAAAGAGTGATGATCAACTGCAACCCTTAGTAGCAGGCTCGTCGAAAAATTGGCCCTGCCCAGACGGCTGGGAGCCACCGGTTAAGACCCTCCATGGCGACCTATAAGGAGGCGAAATCCAAATTGGACGTACTCGCTGCCTCACCTGGGAAGAAGAAGCCGCCAGTCCAACGAACCTTCGGACGCCGGCCGCACGACCGGGTAATGGCTGCCGCATAACCAGAAGAGGCCCTGCTAAAGAAGGACACGAAGATGTGAGTTTTTTTTTTGAGAGAGAGAGAGGATTAGAGAGAGACGAGAGAAAAAGGGTATTTGAAATTACAACATACTCTTATCAATCACTTGCACAAAGTAAACACCATTTTATTTTATCCGTATAATTTCAAACCCCAAAAAATATACACGATGGTGTGGAAGGTCTAATAATATTTCAGCAAAGGGACCAATAATAAAGGTCAAAAGGAAGAACGAAATTTACGACTGATGGTCAATTTTATTCCCTCCATTCTGTTTCTTCACCACAATTTCCCCTTCACTATTTTCCCTCTTCTTTCTACTTCATTCTCTTTCTACAGTCTCGCGCGCGGGTCTCCATTTCTCCATCTTTCTCGCACACGCAAACCACTCCATCATCGTCTACCATAGTCGACTGGTGAGTTCTGCTCTTCAGCTGCTGAAGTGTTTTAGTTCGTTTGTTCTTATCACTCGGTTGTCTGTAAAGAACCCTAGAAGCCTCAGTTTATGCTCGATATCTGGTGATGCTGGACTTTATTCTTACTTTTCTCTTGTCAATGCTACTTGCTAGCTTCTTCAAGTGCTGGATTAGGGTTTGGACCTGTTCAAACTCTCAATTTTGTTTGTCTTTTCAGCTGTACACAGTGGATTTTAGACACTCCGCGCCATTCGTTTGGCTTCTACATCTTTATCTTAATGATTTTAAGTGGCTATATGAGTGTTGTAATCTAATTGTTTTAGTTTTTGCTCCGGATGTAACTTGTGATTGTTTGGCTTATTTTGTATGGATTTTTTTCCCCATAATTATTTATTTGTTCTTATTATTACGGGTTGGGTCTTCTTATATAATTTTTGGTGCTTATACTGAATATAGGTTTTAATGGTTATGTTTTTCTTCTTAATGCCTCCCAGATTGTATTGGAGCTAACCGTCCACAGTTCCAATCATGTATATAAAGCAGGTAACTGGTTGTTATGTTTGTTTGATAGGTACCTATTATTGTTATTTCGTATTTTATCAAACCTCTCATCTATTTAATGTGATCTCAGGTTGTAATAGAAGGCTTTAAGAGTTACAGGGAACAAATTGCAGCCGAAGAATTCAGTCCGAAAGTCAACTGTGTTGGTATAATAATGTGTTTCCTTCTAAGCCATCTGTTTTTATCTCCCACTTAATGTTTTATGTTTGTAATTCAATTTTAAAGTTGTTGAATATGTGAGAAGCAATTTATATTTGATTTGTATATGCAGTTGGCGCTAATGGATCTGGAAAATCTAACTTCTTCCATGGTATGCTGACTTTCAATATTTGACTCTATTTTTATGTTGTTTTGCTGTGTTGCTTAATAACTTGAGCTCGTGCTTGCAGCAATACGCTTTGTGATAAGCGATCTATTCCACAACTTGCGCAATGAAGAAAGGCAGGCGTTGCTTCACGTATGTTCTGCAGTCAAACATTGTGGTTCCTGCAGCTTTAACCAATCATTCCTGCTAAAATCTTAGTACAATTCTAAATGATGGTGCTTAAATTCTTTCAATCAACAGGAAGGCGCAGGCCACCAAGTATTATCTGCATTTGTAGAGATTGTGTTTGACAACTCAGACAATCGTATCCCGGTAGATCTTGGACTTCTTGCACTGAACAAATCCTCACACACACACACACACATCTATTTTTCTAATGCCACGGATAATGTCATAGGATGCTGATTTACGATGATTGTTTTACGCTTCCTTGACATATTTCGTATGGAGATTGCTTACATGTGTTCTTTTCGGTTCCATAAGAATAAAAAACTACCTGGTTAAGCTAAGCCTACTTTAACTAAGAAATGAACTGCTTTTATCTTACCTCACTGTTTTCTTTTTCGGTATTTCCTTACTTTGTTCTTTCTTTGTTTGTCTTCACTTTTTTATTTTCACTTGAATTTGTGGAGTTCATGCTGGCAAATCAAGCAGGTGTTTTGTTTATTGTTAAAATTGGTTTCTATATAAATCAACATTCGCATTACTTTAATTATTATGAAAGGTAACATTGCTGTGGGCTATTTGACGACTAATGAAGCGTTTATATCTCCCAGACCTGCTATAACATCTAACTATCTTTCTTATTTTATCTAGTTTGTTTTAAGGCGTTTAACATTTTTTTATTCTGGTAGGTTGATAAAGAGGAAGTTCGGCTCAGGAGAACAATTGGTGTGAAAAAAGATGAATATTTCTTGGATGGGAAGCATATCACGTATGTATATCCTACTGCATAGTATGTTTGTTGTTCATATATGAATGTATATACTTGTCATATATATAATTTGAAACATTACTTTGGTACTTGTCAGAATATCTCTTCTAAGCTGTCCCACATTTACTAAATAAAGAAAATTGACATAGTTGATTAGCATAGAGAGCTACACTTCCTATCACCAATTGTTTTGGGGTAGAACCTCGCTTAGGTGGCAATTAGCCACACCCAATTGAAGGTGTGCTTCGCCCAAATTGGACCGCACCCATTCCCCCGAATATAAATATATTATGATATCAGAGAAAGTCTGATCTAGTCCCTATGATGACCTGTGGATTAACCGAGCTTGATATGAGACGGTTAAAGGGATCATAAGTGAGTTGGCGTGTCGGAATATCACTTGTGAGTTGTCTCATATTGACTAAGTAAGAAAATTGACATAGTTTATAAGCCTAGTGAGGTACTTGGTTTTGGATGAAATCTCACTTATGTTGCGTTTAGGCTCGATCACTAAAGGTGTACTTCGCCCCTATGAGACCCACCCCTCCCCCAAATATATTAGTGTAACAGTGCTTATCAATTGATTTTTTTTAACCCTTTAGTATATAGTAAATTTGCTGATTGCATTTTGAGTTTTCAGGAAAACGGAAGTCATGAATCTGCTAGAAAGTGCAGGATTTTCTCGTTCTAATCCGTATTATGTTGTGCAACAAGGAAAAGTAAGTAATATCTTTCTTGTTTTTTCCCCTTTGCTTTGTTTTTAGTTCAACATTTTGATGTTTGTTTCTTCTCAGATTGCATCATTGACATTGATGAAGGACTCAGAGCGACTTGATCTGCTGAAAGAAATTGGTGGGACTCGGGTTTATGAGGAGAGACGTCGTGAAAGTTTGAAAATCATGCAGGAGACGGGCAAGAACTATTTATACTGCTTCTTGAATCTCATTTTTGTTTTATGTTTCTAACAGCTGTCTGTTGCACAGGTAATAAGAGAAAACAAATAATTCAAGTTGTCCAATACTTGGATGACAGACTTCGAGAGCTTGATGAAGAGAAAGAGGAACTGAAAAAGTATCAGCAACTTGATCGGCAGAGAAAGTCTTTAGAATACACTATCTATGACAAAGAACTTCATGACGCTAAGCAACAATTGATCAAGGTATTTTTGTTCAAACCTTCACAATACCTTTATTTGGAATGTTAGTGGAATGATTTTTTTGTTTGGATCATTTTTTATATTTTAATTTTTAACTTTCCTAAAATTTTCCTTAGGATTAAACCCAGGCATAACAATGGGGTGTTACAAATGTTTTAGAACTTGGTTAGATAGTGATTTCTGATTCGTTGAATGTTTAAGATGCTGTAATTTTATGAATGATGAGCCCCAAGGTATATATATTAAGAACTTCTATTATTTGTTGTAGAAAATAACACATTCAGACGCAACTTTGTTTTTATTTTTGTTCGAAATATATAATTCCTAATATTAAATAGTGGCCTACGTAAATTTGCATAATGTTTTCGAATCAGTGGTACAGTCATTAACCAATTATGAAGTAATTAAGTAGAGTATAGTATCTGAGAAGATTGAAATTTACTCAAGTGTTGTGTTAATAGAACTTCCTTTGAACAATTAATTACAATTGTCTTCAAACTAAATTAGGTTATATCTAAACTAACAAGCCAAGAAAGCAAAATCTATTAAATGTTTCAATGTCTTAGCCTAGGTTAATGATTTTAACACAAATAATCAGATATAAATAATCTAGCAAATCAATCCATGATTTCTAATTATGGATAATAATCGAGAATTCCTTAGTTATCCAATAACCTTTAACAAGGAGTAATTAATTATCGCCTTTTTATTATCTTTTCATTAAGGAACTTGCTCTTGGTTTATTAGAAAATTGTGCATTGCAAAATTGTTAACCTATTTATATCATGAAATTCTCTTTGAAAATTTGTGATTTTTTTTTTTTTT